TAGTCCCGTCCCTCTCCCCCGCCAGCCACCTCGTCGTGACCTCTGGCCAGCCCGAACAAATATCCATCAACAACGTCGGAGTCTCTGATACCCCAATTTTCAACGACGGATTTGTGTTCGCCTACGCAATTGACGGTTTCTTCAACCTGAATTTCACAATGGCGGACGCAAATCCAGCCAACCCGAACCCTAGATTTGATTTCCAGTGCCTGAAGCTGGAATCATCCTCTAGATTTGGGGACGCATCTGGAGTTCTGAAATCGAGAGGCTACTCGTTATTTTCCTTCAATGGACTGATCACCGATTGCTTGTTATCATATTAGGTAAACTTTATCTTGTCAATTGTTTCCAATTTTCGTACTATTTTTTTTTTTTTCAAGAAATTCATAAGTGTTCATGGAATCTGCTGGTAGAATTTTGTAATTGTAGAGTTATTTATATTACTTTTTATTTTATGTAAATTGTTTTGCTGCTTTTTGCTCAATTTTTCCTCGGTTTAGTTGGTCATTTTTTTTTATCCTGTGTTATGTAGTTTGTTGAGATATTTGTGTGTTATGTGCTCTGTGTTGTTCAATAATCAATTAATTCTGTGATCTTTTAATCTCTCGAACTGCAGCTCATTCGGCGGCGGATGGAAAAAGTTACCGCTGCATATTGTGAGGAATTGGTAGAGAACTGACCGGCTTGAATATTTTGTAGAAAAATTATTTGAAAGCAACTTTTTCATATTTAGTTATGTTTATTTGAGTTGATTTTAGTTATTGATTGTAGTTTTTTTTTGGTTTATCTATGGTTTATATTTAGTTTATTTTTTGTTTTTGTTTTTGTTTTTGTATTTGTCCTATTCAATTTCTTATAATTTATTAAAAAAATATATAATATACTTAAGATATACTTAATATTAACTAGTTTTTTATGATTTATAAAAAAAATTGATTCAATTTTTGACTGTTAATTATGATTATTTGAGTTGATTTTAGTTATTGTTTGTAGTTTTTTTTTTTTTTTTTTTTTTTTTT